AACATGCAGCTAAATTGAATAATGAACCAGGCAAGGCAAAAAAAAAAAAAAGAAAGCACTAATTAGTATGTTGCTGTTTTATCTCAGTAGAAGGGGGTGGACGCGCTGGGAAAGGACAGTCTGTTCGCCCTGTTGTTGCCATGGTGTTCGCCTGACGCGTGGTATAATTCATTATACGGCAGTTAATTAACAGTCCCCTGGGGAACGATTTCCACAAAGTCACTGTGGAATTTAATTGTGTTGGGTTCCTCCATCAGGGAGAAACATAATGCAAGGAAATTTAATTCAAAGTGTGCTTGAATGTTGTACAATATACTGTACAATCAATGAAATCTGAAATATTCACTGTTCAACTTTACACTAAGGATGTTTTTATCTTAACCAGTCATAACAACAAAAGTTATTTGTTTATTTGTTTCTTTTTTTGTTTACCAGATAGATTTTGGGCCTAGATTTTTTTTAAATGGTTAAGTATTATATCTTTTTTTTTTTTAATTCAATTTAAATTAAAAGTTAATAAAATATTAAATAATAGACTGCTATTTCTCCTCCTTTATGTGTACAGATGTGACGTAATGACTCAATATAGCTTTTACTAGCCGAGACTCTTCTTTGTGTGTACAGATGGGACGTAATGACTCAATATAGCTTTTACTAGCCGAGACTCTTCTTTGTGTGTACAGATGTGACGTAATGACTCAATATAGCTTTTACTAGCCGAGACTCTTCTTTATGTGTACAGATGTGACGTAACGACTCAATATAGCGTGTAATAGCCGAGACTCTTCTTTATGTGTACAGATGTGACGTAATGACTCAATATAGCGTGTAATAGCGAGACTCTTCTTTATGTGTACAGATGTGACGTAACGACTCAATATAGCGTATAATAGCCGAGACTCTTCTTTATGTGTACAGATGTGACGTAATGACTCAATATAGCGTGTAATAGCGAGACTCTTCTTTATGTGTACAGATGTGACGTAACGACTCAATATAGCTTATACTAGCCGAGACTCTTCTTTGTGTACAGATGTGACGTAACGACTCAATATAGCTTATACTAGCCGAGACTCTTCTTTATGTGTACAGATGTGACGTAACGACTCAATATAGCTTATACTAGCCGAGACTCTTCTTTATGTGTACAGATGTGACGTAACGACTCAATATAGCTTATACTAGCCGAGACTCTTCTTTGTGTACAGATGTGACGTAACGACTCAATATAGCTTATACTAGCCGAGACTCTTCTTTATGTGTACAGATGTGACGTAACGACTCAATATAGCTTATACTAGCCGAGACTCTTCTTTATGTGTACAGATGTGACGTAACGACTCAATATAGCTTATACTAGCCGAGACTCTTCTTTGTGTACAGATGTGACGTAACGACTCAATATAGCTTATACTAGCCGAGACTCTTCTTTATGTGTACAGATGTGACGTAACGACTCAATATAGCTTATACTAGCCGAGACTCTTCTTTATGTGTACAGATGTGACGTAACGACTCAATATAGCTTATACTAGCCGAGACTCTTCTTTGTGTACAGATGTGACGTAACGACTCAATATAGCTTATACTAGCCGAGACTCTTCTTTATGTGTACAGATGTGACGTAATGACTCAATATAGCTTATGCAAGCCGAGACTCTTCTTAATGTGTACTTATACTAGCAGAGACTCTTCTTTATGTGTACAGATGTGAAGTAATGACTCAATATAGCTTATACTAGCCGAGACTCTTCTTTGTGTACAGATGTGACGTAATGACTAAATATAGCTTATACTAGCCGAGACTCTTCTTTGTGTACAGATGTGACGTAACGACTCAATATAGCTTATACTAGCCGAGACTCTTCTTTATGTGTACAGATGTGACGTAACGACTCAATATAGCTTATACTAGCCGAGACTCTTCTTTATGTGTACAGATGTGACGTAACGACTCAATATAGCTTATACTAGCCGAGACTCTTCTTTGTGTACAGATGTGACGTAACGACTCAATATAGCTTATACTAGCCGAGACTCTTCTTTATGTGTACAGATGTGACGTAACGACTCAATATAGCTTATACTAGCCGAGACTCTTCTTTATGTGTACAGATGTGACGTAACGACTCAATATAGCTTATACTAGCCGAGACTCTTCTTTATGTGTACAGATGTGACGTAACGACTCAATATAGCTTATACTAGCCGAGACTCTTCTTTATGTGTACAGATGTGACGTAACGACTCAATATAGCTTATACTAGCCGAGACTCTTCTTTGTGTACAGATGTGACGTAACGACTCAATATAGCTTATACTAGCCGAGACTCTTCTTTATGTGTACAGATGTGACGTAACGACTCAATATAGCTTATACTAGCCGAGACTCTTCTTTATGTGTACAGATGTGACGTAACGACTCAATATAGCTTATACTAGCCGAGACTCTTCTTTATGTGTACAGATGTGACGTAACGACTCAATATAGCTTATACTAGCCGAGACTCTTCTTTGTGTACAGATGTGACGTAACGACTCAATATAGCTTATACTAGCCGAGACTCTTCTTTATGTGTACAGATGTGACGTAACGACTCAATATAGCTTATACTAGCCGAGACTCTTCTTTATGTGTACAGATGTGACGTAACGACTCAATATAGCTTATACTAGCCGAGACTCTTCTTTGTGTACAGATGTGACGTAACGACTCAATATAGCTTATACTAGCCGAGACTCTTCTTTATGTGTACAGATGTGACGTAACGACTCAATATAGCTTATACTAGCCGAGACTCTTCTTTATGTGTACAGATGTGACGTAACGACTCAATATAGCTTATACTAGCCGAGACTCTTCTTTGTGTACAGATGTGACGTAACGACTCAATATAGCTTATACTAGCCGAGACTCTTCTTTATGTGTACAGATGTGACGTAATGACTCAATATAGCTTATGCAAGCCGAGACTCTTCTTAATGTGTACTTATACTAGCAGAGACTCTTCTTTATGTGTACAGATGTGAAGTAATGACTCAATATAGCTTATACTAGCCGAGACTCTTCTTTGTGTACAGATGTGACGTAATGACGCAAAGACATGCTCAAATCTCCCATGGAATTCCACCAGTACCACTGGAATTAAAAACATTATTACGAGCTTTCCCTTTTGAATCGAGCTACGGCAAGCAGATAGCGTTGAACACTGGCTGGTTATGTATTTTCTCAAATATGCTACAAAACCCCCAAAAAAGCTACAAACTGCAGCTTTAATAGACAAAATAGTAGAGAATTTTAATGTTTGCCATTTATCAGTTTTCAGCCATTACATAAAAATCATTATCGGTTTCAGCAAGAAGATTTTTTTGGGGTCGCTTATTTTCTGCTTTTGTCACACTTGTTAGCCACACCCACAGTAAAATCTCATTGGTCCAAAGTCTTGCTCTACTGAATATTAAATATCGGTTATGTTCCGATTGGCTGTGATTCTGTCCTGGGTTCTACGAAGTTGTTTTGCACTTCTCTGTGTTAAAAACAAATTAGAAAGTGTGACAGAATATGAAAGCAGAAACAACAGGGAGCCAGAAAATAACCGAGTTAAGATGTTGTGAATTATGCACTACTGCGATTCCCAGAGCTGTTTTTCTAAACAGTTCTGAAATGCCTCGCAACCGCACATGTTTAATATTCTCTCGCTGTGAAAATGGAATTTGCACTTGAGTGAATCCATGTTTAGAGCAATGGAATTCTGCTGTTATGAGCCTTGACTTCTTGCCTGGAAGCCTTTGTTGGAACACATGGGGCTATTTGGACGTGATGGGTGATCTCGACTCACTTACTCGCTTCAGAGGGAGTCATTTCAGGAAAATTCCACTATTACAGCTTGTGAATTTGAGAACAGAGCTGCTGTAGTTGTTATGTGCACCAACTGGAGCTTGGGTCAGATTGGACATTCCCTAGAAAGAACTAAAATGTATTACATATGTATATATATATATCCCTGCTTAAAGGGATAGTTCACTTTAAAATTAATTTTTGATGTTTTAGCTTACCTCAAGGGCATCCAAGTTGTTGGTGTCTTTGTTTCCACAGTATTTTCAATTTTGATATTTTTAGGTCAAACCGTTCTTGTCTGTCAGTCATATAATGGAGGTTTATGGTCACCACCTCAAAGAGCATGCACAGAGAAGTCCAAATTAAACATGATTTAATGACTCGTAAATGTAAGTACACATTAATGGCCTAAGACACGAAACGAGCGGTTTGTGTGAGAAAACGAAAAGTATTTATATCGTTTTTACCTCTTGTAACCACAGCCACATCCACGTGATCTGATACCGCGGGCGCTTCTGTCTGCGCAAGCACTGGAAAGCGCCGGAAGTGATCTCTCGCGCGGTTGCGGAAAAAATTCAATGTTGTCTGTTGATATATCGAAATCGCCTTTCATTGCGATTTCCTGTATATCTAAATCTTTTTAGATCTTCACAGTGAAAGGTAACGCTTCCGAAATCTCTGTTTAAACAATGAGTGACGTACACGCGCGAGAGATCACTTCCAGCGCTTTACGGCGCTTGCGCAGACCGATCACTTGGACGTGACTGTGATTACAAGAGGTAAAAACGATATAAATACTGTTCATTTTCTCACACAAACTGCTCATTAAATCATGTTTAATTTGGACTACTCTGTGCATGCTCTTTGAGGTGGTGACCATAGACCTCCATTATATGACTGATAGACAAGAACGGTTTGACCTAAAAATATCAAAATTGAAAATACTTCGGAAACAAAGACACCTATATCTTTGATGCCCTTGAGGTAAGCTAAAACATACCAAAAATTAATTTCAAAGTGAACTATCCCTTTAATATTTTTCTGTAACCACCTGTGAAACTTTTTTTCAGTGCTTCTTTTATAAATAAAAAGGTGTTGTGGTTATAAGACTCTCATAAGAATGCGTGTCTGATGCCAGAGTGTGATTTATGTTTTGTCACAGGAGATGTGGAGTGAGATGGGTTTAGGAACAGATGGTGATGAGGATGTCGAGACAAGCGGCGGCGACATGGCAGAAGGCAGCGGCGAGTGCGATGATGAAGACGGCTGTCATGGATCGGGCCGGGGTGACGAGACAGGTGAGTTTGCTCGTCCTCTGTATCTGCGGCTCAAAGCCAACTGTCTCTCTGCGTTTACTTGATCTACAGGTCCCAGGAGAGGACGTCCTTCCCACGTTGCTAAGAAACCCACAGCCATTTACCGTCTTGTGTTTGTTTTTTAGGAGGTCGGGCTCTTCTCATTATGTACAGTGCCGATCACAACAGGGCTATTACAGCATAAATCAAAGCAAAACTGAATTAAATTTGTTAAAAACAAACAAACAACATTTTCCCAGTGTGGTGAGAAAAAGAAACTAGTTTTTTCTTCTTTTAAACATAAAACAAAACTGAATTAAGTTTTAAGCAATATTTTTTTTTTTGCATGCACAAAATAAACCATTGAGGTAATTTTAAGTTTATTTATTGGTTTCATTTTATATCATATTTTATCATTGAAAACAAATGTTTTATAACAAATGATGTATGTACTTTAATGGAACAGTATTGTTCTTAGCTCTGTGCTCTACTTAGTACGCTGGATGCACTCAGGGTTTGGACTAAATAATGGATTTCACCTTATAATAGATGAATTGAATTGTGTGTAGGGAGTTATTGCACTATTTTTCAAGGAACGCCTGCTGTTCTTTCCCTCTGTTGCTCAGAGTCCAGCCTCGGTTTCTACTTCTATGAGGTCATGCATCTTTGTCCATTGCTCTCGGAAACATTTCCAAATAGCATCCATGCTTTAAACATTTTCTGGCTTTGTATTTGTTGAGTCAGCACTGATTGATTTGGCTGAGACTTTGTGCTTTTGGGATATTATCCCGTAAAATCATCTTCAGTTTTTAATTAAATGCATCTCTTCAATACATGGGCCCTTTTGACGTTTACAATATTTTCCTCTGTTTTGTATGAATGTTATATACATGCTTTGTATTTATATGTTATTTATTTATTTATAACTAAATAATTATTGATTGGTTTAATAAATAAGTAATAATTTATTAATAAACAGAATGTATTTAATTATTTAAACAAATATCTATTTATAAATATATAAATAGATACAAATATTTATTTATATTTTACCCAATAAATGAGTACTTTTGCCTTTTGGATTTTTAGAAAATATGGTAGCGTTAATATTCCCCTGTTATATTTGTATGTTATGTATTTATATGCAATTTATTTCTTTATAAAAATATTTGTTTGTAAATTATTATTACAATTTAATTAAAGAATAAAAATAAATGTATTTATACAATAATAAATACAATTATTTATTGTTTGATATATTTATTTATATTGTTTCATACATTTATATATATGAAAATAAAATAGTTTAATTTCCAATAGTGTAACATCTCAAATTATATAATGTGTTTAAATCAATAAATAAAATAATAAACAATAAAAATTGAAAGCATTTTATGTATCCTAAATACAATTTTCACATTTTATTGACATAATTTGACGAAATTACAGCTTGATTGGAAATGACTTTGTTTTAGGATTTAATTAAGCATTTTATTTTGATAGTTTTTTGATAGTTAAGATTTTAGATTTATTTAAATTGTACAGTTTTATGATATCATTATTACTAAGTGTTTTATTTTTTTTATTATTTTTTTTTTTGTATTTACTCATGAGGCCTACATTTGAGAAACCATGGTTTGGATTATCATAGTTTTCAAAATGCAATTATATTTTTAGGATGGATTTTCATAGTTTAAAATTGTAAGTCTGGGTAAATCCGTAAAGTCTATATATAATTTTTTTTTTTGTACCAAGTTATAAAAGTTGGTTTAGTTAAAGAAAGAACGATTACTAAATTCTTAAACCCACTAAAACCCACCGTGATCATCCTTCGATTTCGTGTCAAAATGAATAACTGATTCAACAAATGTCTTTCTCCTGTTACCCGATTTGGACAGTTTTTTAACAAGAAGCTGTCGAGAACGAATTACAGTTGGTGACAAATTAACAAAAGTTACTGTTACACTTTTACCTAGGTATCCTCACTTTTAGTGATTTTTAATCTATTTTTATTTTCTCAAAACCCAATGGAATGAATTCCTGGCTTGGCCGTTTTAATTCCCTCAAATCCCTTGAGTTGTTGAAAATACGGATTGCTGAATGACAGCCCGTCTCATCCGGGGTCATGGAGGTATAGTTTCCCCTACAGCGACCACAGAGCTGGTCATAATCAATCAATTATTCATTTCGCAGGAAACGGTTCATTAACGGAGACCAGAGCGTTATGATACCCACCGCTCTGTCTCTCTCGTCTTTCTCTTCATGCTTGGTGACTCTGTCCAATGATGCTGAGATAAGCACACAGACAAGGCTTGCAATTTGCATTGTTTGTTTTCGTGGAGCGTACCTCGACGTAATTGACCGTGACTATGACACACACAAATAAGCATTGCTGCAGTTCGGCTCGGCCTTGGATGGATGGAGACCAAAGTCGAGGTCTGTTTTCTGGTGTATTTCCGAACATGTGAAATGGACCTCCTCTGAGGTCCATAAAATTACTCATTGATCGTTTTCCTGCTGAACCTCAAAGATTCAGATCTGACACGTTTGCAGACTCTGTCTGCGTCAATAATGCTAATAAAGTCTGTTTTCTAGAGCCGTTTGCCTGGTTACACACCCAATTATTGTTTTTTGAACCTGTGGCACTTTAAATCAGTATGATTGAAAACAGTCTAACAATATTTTAGACATACACACACACACACACATATATATACTGTATATATAATTTATTCTTTAAATTATAATTTATTAGATGTAATTGTATTATGTAATATTGATTTTAAAAATGGTTTTAGATGGAGTATAGAATGTAACACCATAGGACACACCACAATGCCATGGCTTCAAATGCCCTTTTGCTATAAGTTTCTGTTTTCTTGTTTATTTATTCCACTTTTGTCCCAGTTTTGCCCTTTTTTGTCCGTCATTAGACCTCTGACTCTGCAGTGCGCGTGGGGAATGTGGTATTTAAAATGTAACTCTATCCAGCTGTTTATGGAACCAGAGTCTGATAAGCACTTGCTGAGGCTGTAACCTCCAGCCAAATGAATGAAATGAAATCTCACAACACCACCATTGTGTGTGTGTGTTTACTGTTTGTGTCCCCACATCTGCAGTGTGTGAGTTCACAGTTTGAATTACCTGATAGCCAGAATGTGAAAAACAGGGCCACTAAAATTGAGGAAGCTACTTTGAAACTCAATCTACAAAGTATTTCTTTGTTTGTTTGTTCTTGCATCTCAAACAGTGGTGCTCGGAGTGCCCACATACTAAATGTACTAAAATATATACAGCATTCATATTTTGCACGTGATGTCACAAGTACTTGCTGGCGGGCAAGAACGCCATTTTCCAGCAATGAAACCCAGTAAACTAGTCAAGGATCTTGCCAGGACGTCACCAGTTTTTATACAAAAGTTGGTGTTTCGAGGTGTAAACGACACGCCAGATAGTTGTTGTGCGATTGGTTGTACTAACCAGATGAGATTAGCAACCTTCACAGTATAACCAGCCCGTTCTCATCCCAAGCCGTCATCTAACTGACACTTTTGACTTTTGCGTCAACATCCGACGCACATGGCACCCTTTAGCATCAATTTGAGACTCGCCTCCTAGTGGTCTAATCCTAACCCTACCCCAGACCTAAACCTACATAACTGATGCTAAAGGTTGCCATGTGCGTCGGATTTAGACGCATGGTCAAAAGTGTTAGTTAGATGACGCCCTAGGATGAGCGTCATCTAACTGACGCTAAAGGTTGCCATGTGCGTCGGATTTAGACGCATGGTCAAAAGCCCCATTTAAATAACGTTCTAGGATGAGCAACATTTAATGGTTGCCATGTGTGTCGGATTTAAACGCATGGTCAAAAGCGTCAGATAGATGACGCCAGGGACGTGCACAGACATTTTGAGGGGCAGGGGCTCAAGTGAAAAAAAGGGCACTTCTCATAATTTTTTTTAAAATTTATTTTACTTTTTTTAAACAAAAAAGTATATATATTAACCCAACGCGACTATTTTTTAAAAAATATTTAAAAAGTTAATTAATTTTATCTTCCTCAAACTCAATTGTTTAATTTTCGAAAGATGTCTACAAAATAATCAGTTCACACAGAAATCATGGTCTCCTTAGTATTCATAGGTTTATAGAGCAGCAAAGGAAACCATGCCACAGTGTGTCAAATCAAGTACATATTTGATACACCTGATGGTGACATGTGACATCTCCCTCGCATTTGAGGGAGAACTGTATCATCATCAAATAAAACCTTCAAAATCCACATTGAGTTTGTTTCTGTTTGCATCTCTAGATTTCTTCTAAATTCACCAATTTAGATTTCTAAACTTCAGCGGAAAGACTCTTGGTGTAGCTATAAGTCATTAACTTTAATAATAAGAATTTTAGGCCATACAAATTCATAAAAACGTCCGGATTTTACATACAAGGCCATAAATTACATTAAGCCACGTCTTAAATTGATATGCTCATTCATTCATTATCAGTTATCACTATACAATTTTTCGCGATAAAACGCTATCAAGTTCGAGTCAAAATCGTCAATACTCGATATCAATATAGAGTTCGATAAACGTTCCATAATGTTTATGTGGCAAATGAAACTCATTTGAAGCGCGCGACTGATTATCCGCTCGGTTCAAAGTCCAAACGGCAGCGCAAGCTCACTAGAGGTGAAATTCATAAAAACGTCTGATCGGCGCTTCAGAACTCCTGACCTGATATTTAGATACAGGGATGACAGGGAAACTGTGCGCAAATAGTAATATGTATTTTCTTAAAAAAATAAAATAAAAAAGCACCCCAGAAAAAAGGGCACTTTAGGGCTAAAGGTTGCCATGTGTGTCGGATTTAGACGCATGGTCAAACGCGGCAAAATTAGAGTGCGGCAAAATTCATTGAAAAATTAATGACTTCTGGGCATTTTGACGCTCTCGCCGGTGGCGGTGTAAACGTAGCTGTCGTATTTTGCTAACAACAAC